TACTTAGGGATAAGGTTTGAAGGCTCGTGAGCATATGGAATTCTGGAATATCTCGAAGAAGGCCAGAGTTTCAGTGGCGTTTTTGTTTGACATGGGGGCTTTGTTGACTTTGTGTTCTACTTTGTGTTATTTTCCTTCTGCAGAGGACAAGCGATGGCGGGAAAAGGCTGACAGAGTGTGCTTGTCCAAACATACCCTTAGACGTGAATGGCCCCCGGCTTTGGCATTTTCATTTCTGCTTCTTACCCCTTTCAGGATAGATGAGGTCGATGTTGACGTTGGTCTTTGACAGATGGGAGGCCTATGCCCAGTGATGGGCATGGACTATTTGCTTGTCAAGGGTAGGAGCACGTATCAATGTGAGCTGACAGGCAACAGTTGCAGGTGCCCTCGACGACGATCAGGCTGATCGGAGAAAACCCGACCATCATCTGTCTGCTTCTACTCCGTACTCTGTCAGCTTCGAGAATGCCATCTTGCATGGCTGTGGGTAGAAGATTGTGGAAGATGGATTGGAATCTGATCCGATGCCCTGTCTTCAGGGGGTGTTTTTGTTCTCTCTCTCGGACCAGCATCAAGGCACCCTAGGGCGATGACGACGGATCATTCGTAAGCCGACTGGACCGATGGAGTCTTTGGTTGCGATTGCGATTCTGAATCTTTTCCCTATCATGTAGGAATTTACGACGGGTCCGAAGGGATCCCCGGGGACGCGGCACGCACCTGGGGACCAGTCGCATATTCAGCTGTCTGTCCGTAGATCAAATCCTTCAACTCGTCTGTCAGAGCCGAGCTTGGACGGGATGAGAAGGACCGGGGTCGTGTGAGTTGTCTAGCAGGTGGGCCATCATCAAGATCGGCTCTCGTCTGGCGAGATGAACCGACATGCAGCTTTCTAAGAACTGTAGCTTACTGTGTAGCCATCTCCCGCCATTCGCCACTACTACCACTACTACCCCTACGACTAGTCTCAGTAGACCAAGTAGGACATGATGTGAGAGTACTAGTGTCCAGAGTGGACGTGGATGCAACATGGGAAAGGCAGCAAGCAGCATGCAGGTGTCCCACCTTGCGGCTGTGCGATCGGAGAATTTTCTCTTCGGACAACACACGGACGGTGTCGTTCAGCAGGTCATCGTGAGGGTCACGAATGAAGGACCAGTGGTTCCTGGAGGACGAGCGTTTGCATGAACTATCTGCTGCAAGGGAGAGCCACTAGTTTGGATCTTCTCTTTCCAGTTCCCTTTGCCACTTTGGTCCTCATGCAGTTTGTTCTCCCGCGTCCGGTCTTTCTTCTTTCTTTCTTTCTTTCCCATCTGCCGGTTTTGCTTTTCCTGAAGTTCTTGCTTTCTCCAAATCTTCATGTTCTTCTTTTTTCTCTTCTCCCCCACAACACACTAGTCCTGTCTGCGTCTGCATCTACATGTACTGCTAGTCGGGGCATAGGGGGAAAACGATGGGATGATGTGGAGCACAGAAAGCAAACATGCCGTCCCCGAACACGAACCATTCGCTGCGCGGCCCACTTTATTTGGCTGGAAAGGATAGGAAGAGAAAGAAAGAAACAGAGGAGATTATAAAGGGGGGGGGGGGGAGGGGTGTAGTGAAAACTGCCAGGGTCACCGGATGGAAAGAAAACCTAAGTACATACATACATACATACAGAACTTGGTGGTGCTTATTCCGGCTCCGGCAGCTCTCAAATTCTTTGTTTGGCAGCTCGTCTATGCCGTCGATAGTCGTGAACACTATTTCATTCATCGGGAACTTGGTCAAGAAAGAAATAACTACTTTTAAACTTCCATTCCCTGTCTTAATTGGTTAGTTACTTTGGTTACTTGCGTGGATAGTACTAAGTAGTAGGTAGTAGGAGTAGTGGTAGTAGTGAAGCCCGGAGACATTGATTGATCAATTGATCGATTGCTTTTCCATTGATTGATTCCCCGAGCTTAGCTTAGCCAGCCAGCCAGCTAGCTAGCTAGCTAGTCTAGAGTAGTTATCTCGCTAGGTATAGTTACCTACCTACCTACCACTGTTATTTCTGGACAGGAAGGGGAGAAGTCGAGAAGGTTCAGTTTTGTGGTGGTGATTTACACCGTTACTTTCGATTTATTGATCAGTGGTGCCTCACTGCCCGACGGTACTAATAAGCAATCTCAGGAATCTCTCCGGGGGGTGGGCATTTCCCTCGTAATGATCGACCCAAATTGCTGGGATTGACCGGCAAGGGCGTTCATGTTGTCCTACGCGAACTTGTTCGTATAATCTGAGGAAATGTGAAGTTGATCGATTGATGGAGGAAGTGATGATCGCAAGAGCGTTGGTGGAGACTGATGAATATTTTCGTTTATTTTTTTTATTTCTATCATTAGTTTGAGGGGGAGAAGGATGGGAAATTGGGAGGATCCAGAATACTTACCCATTCCAAGCCATGTTCCCGATGTGATGTGTAACCCTTTCTAATTAACTACGGGGTACTATACTAGTATATAGATCCCGAAGAAGCTTTTAGTTTAGAAACGGGATGGACACATACTTACTAGGAAAGTAGATAGAGAGAACAGAACAGATAGATAGATGGATTGATTGATTGATCGTTTAGGTGTGGAATCACTACTACTAACTAATCTACAGTCGACGACTTAGTGTAGTTTGAATGTGGCTAAAAGTTGAACTAGTGAAGAGAACTAAACCACTCTCGTAGCGTGTGTTGTTTGGTTTGTTCGGCATCAACTTTTTTTTTTTTTTGTTTTTTATTTTTTTTGACTTGCCAATCCCCACTTCTTTGGCTAATCTTGTCTGTGCATCTGTCACATTTCTTCTTCCATTTGACTCCCTAAATTTGGTCCATGCCTTACGGTTGCCGATGATCCACAGATGATACCTCACATTCCCATCCCTCTTTGCTTCCTCGGGATTGTTCTCGCCAACCGTTAACTGCCTTTCGGGACAAGGACCTCCTTCTCCTGCTACTCCTTCTCTCTCCACCCCCCTCCCCTCTTTGCCGCCCCCCAAGGAGGAGGTGGAGAAGTGAAAGAGAGAGAGAGGGTGTGAGAGAGGGTGTGAGATTGAGAGTGTGTGAAAGAGTGAGTGTGAGTGAGCTAGGGCCCTCTCTCTTTCCCCCTCCCCTCATCCTCCTCCTCTTCCTCCTCCTCATCCTCTTCCCCCCTCCGCCAATCCCCATCACATATCCCTTACTTGTAACGGTTCGCAGGAATAAACTGGTTGGCAACCGCTGAAGATAGGAGTCGGCGACAAGTTTCAACGTCACACGAGACTGGAAGCTGAATGCCGATCCGACAGCCCGCTGAACTGGCTCTCTCTCTGTTGCTTTCTCGCTCTCTCCTCTTCACGCCCAGTCCGACAGCAAATCCCAGTGACTCCACATACGTACTACTAAAGTAAATCCCAAGAAGAAAATGAACCATTCAATTTGTTGGTCTGACAGGGATCAGCTTGTCCTGACTCAATGCTGCCCCGGTTCCATGCAGCTGGACCAACAGAAAATCCCCAAACTAACTGGCTGGCTATTCAAGTATCTACAGAGATAGTGTCTATCCAACTGAACTACCGAGCTAAAGTAGCTAAACGCAACTAAAGCAGCTCCTCTCGAGGCTAGTGACTCGGGCTAACGAAGTGCAGCCTGGACGATCCCAGGAGCATGGATGACGAAAATCCGCGATGCGCGCGCCCTGCAATGCGCGCGGCGGACAGACGCTTGACTGACTGAACTGACTATCATCGACTTGACAGGAGGAGGAGCTGCTCAGCCGAGCAAATAGTCGCTCGCTGGCCTTCTTTCTTCTTGTCATTCGACGCCATCATCGGCCTCCTTCCCCCGATCGAGAGCGCCTGGCACGGACTCGATCGTTGCTCTTCTCTAACGTTTCTTTCTTTTTCTGGGTTCTTTTTGGATCCTGCTCGTCATATTTTCCTTTTTAAAACGAAAATATTCTTACTTTTATTTTTATTATTTTTAATTCCTTTCCGTTTTTCTTTATTATCATTATTCTTTTTATTTTATTTTATTTTATTCTTTTTTTTCCCTTTCCTTTTTCTTTTTTTATTCTTCTTTTTTTGTGCTTCACAGTATTATCCTGGCCGCTCAGTGCTTCTCTGCTCTGCCTTTCCCTTCCCTTTCCCTTCCATTTCACCCCCCTCTCCCTTGGTGTTTCAACCAATAATGACTCCACCAACCTTGCTTTGCCCCCCTCCTCTCCCCTTTCACCTGTTCTTGTAGGGCCCTTGAATGCCTGCCACCCTTGTCTTGGGCCCCGGTTACACTATCTAGATCCAACTCTATCGTTCAAGCTATCGGGAACGAGGAAGGCTCGTCATTTGACGATGCATCAACTCCGCATACGGAGGGGACATCGTTAGCCCGTCAGACCTTACCAGGGTGCTGTGCACACACCCCCCCGACTCCAACAGCAAGGGTCTGACAGCTCCTCGAGATTCCCGTGTGAACCCTTCATAAAATCCTGGTTCCCTCTCTCCCCTCGACCTGCCTTTTTCTTTTCCTGCCGGATACCTTGCTGCTCGCTCCGGCGTTGGCAATTCCAAACCTTGACTACTCTGCTCTTCTGTACATACATGCATGCCTCTCTCATCAATTGCATCATTGCTACTGCTATTCCCGCTTTTACTCTTTCATCTATCTATATCCCGCCTCTTGAGCTAGGGGACTGGCCGCATTACCTGCATGTCCTCATCATCCATCTGATCATATCCGACTGTCTGCCTCAAAGCGGCCATTAACCTCCGCGGGATTCACTTTTAACCGCTCGGACAGGGTCACCTCTTGACTGTCCGTGGTTGCCATTAACATTCAGTTTAGACTAGTGGCGGGAGGTTCACCTGCATAAATACCCAGCGGCTGAAGAGCAGCTGCAAGTCCCATGCAGCAGAGCAACGGTTCCCATGACAGCTTAATTGCCCCGAGTCCAATTGTCCCAACTGGTCGGCCGAGTTCCCTGAACACCTCCAGAAGCGCCTACACCATGTCGTCCCTGGCACACGAACCTCGGCAGTCCCGGGATACCCTCCAGTCCTCCGAACATCTCGATCTGCGAGATGAGAACGCAACCGATTTCGCCAAGTTTATCGAATCGCAAGGCCCCATCACCGGATCCACTGGAGCCCGGGAGATGCTCAAGGCCGGCCAGAGACGGCTTCGACAACTCGCTCAACGCCCGAAGAAGAGTACTGACCCCAGGTCCAAGGCCGAAGAGTCAGCGCGCCAACTGCTTGCCCTTCAGGAAGGAGGCTTCTTGCCGACGAATGTTCCTGTTCCTGCTGGCGTACCCTCCAAGCGGTCGACCCACAAGAAAAGCCTGGACTCAAGCCGGTCTTCCTCCCGTTCTATTTCCAACCTCAGTTTCATGGCAAACTCTAGACGGGATGTAGAAAGCATTGGACAACCGTGGCTCACGGATCCACTCGAAAAGAAGGACAGACCGGAGGTTAGCACAAATCATTTGTCTGCGCTGGATCTACGGGAGCTGACATCTTTGGTGGAGGCTGCGGTAACCATTCCCCCGCGCTTCGATGACGCGAATCCCCCGCCGTACCAGCCACCCGTACCGGCGAAGGATGTCAAAGCGGATGCACAGCGTGAGAACCAGGACCCTGCGGTTGCTATTACCGTCGCCGACACCACCTCCGGATCCAAGGAGAAACAGTCACTCGGATCCAGCGACGCGGCGAACCCCAGCATCCAAGTCGACAGCAGTGAAGAGCAAGGATCCGACACACGGTCCGAGGATAATGTGCCAAAAGACGGAAAGGCATCAGACAATGACCAGGTAGGTCAATTCCTTGCGCGTCTGGAATATGCAAGTCTAATGTCATACAGTCTGGTCTCAAGACTGATGAAGGCGCAATGTCGCCAGGTCTCGTGATCGACTCGGAGGTAGCCAACAAGCCTGCTACGAGCTCGTCTGGTAGCTCTTCAACATCGACAAGCCAAACCACTCCTTCTTTGAAGCTTTTCCCAGACACGATGCCCCCGCGCAACTCGAGTAAAGGAGCCTGGCGCATCTCCAATGCTCGCTCGCTTGCTCTCAACAGACCTCTCCCGGCAAACCCCGATCCGGAGCAAAGTAGCATGGACTCGAATAAAGAAAGTTCTCACCCGACCGATAGCACCACAGTCAAAGAAGGCTGCGGTACTCAGGAGGTATCTGAGCCATCTACTTCCACTGATGTTGGGAAATCGGACAAGGAACCCCTGGCGAATGAAAAGAATTCACAGAAGAAAGGATCTCGCCGACCTTCGTCCTTGCCAATGTGCACAATCGATGCGTTCCCCTTGCCAGCACCCATGAGACCCCTGCCTTCTCTTCCAGAATCAACTGCAGCGAGTGGTGCTCACAGTCGTAGCGCCTCTAGCAGGTCTGCGCCTCTTGCGAGACTGGTGCTGGATGAGAGAAACCAGGCCTCTACTGCGCATGATGAACCGGCCAAGGCCACACCGGCTATGTCCAACTCTCTTCCCTTAGTACGGGCGGGGCTGAGTCGGGCCGAACGAGTTCATGCATTGAAGATGAGAGACATGTCGGCGAGCCGTCTCTATCTTAAGGAGTCGGAGACACCTCGTGAGGAGGAAGAGGATTACCAGCCTCCGCGGATTGCAAAGGAACCCGAAGAATCAATGGCTCAGGAACGTGGGGAGGCATATGCTCCTAGGCCTGAGTCTGAAAAGTCGGCAAATCGCAACGTGCGCTATCAGCGCAAAGTCGCCTCGGATCCTCCATCCCCTCCGCCACTCTCTCCTCCGCCCTCGAAGCCATCTAGACACCAGATTAGCCAATCTATTGGCAGGCGTTACTGCAGCACACCTCTTACGGGTAGTGCAGTATTGGCGAGAGATTGCGAGTCGCAGATGCTCCCTACTTCCAGGGATGCCCCTGTTCGTCGAAGTAGTAGCACTCGAAGCGTGACCTCTTCGCTTGAGCGAGCGAGAAAAGAACAAGACCCCGTGGGCCGCTCCGACGTTCCCATCCCATCATCCGACGACGAGTGCACCAGCGCAAGCGCGCGCCAGGATCAAGCCCGTCCAACTTCTAGTCGACGCCGGCGGATGAGACCAGCACCCCTAACCATGAATGAGCACCGCTCACACAAGATGCGCGCGACAAGGAGGTCTTCCGACTACTGCCTGTCGCCGGGAAGCCACCGAACCCGTGCCTCTGGACGGGCGTCGCCACAGTCGCATCATACTCAGAGCTCCTATTATTCTCGGGACTCACGAAGCTCCCACCACGACACGATCAGGGCTCTTGAAGGGCGCATCGCGCACCTTGAACGACAGAACAAGATCCTCCAGGCCGCGCTTATGGCCGCGTTGGACGTGGGCAGTGTAGAAAGCCTGCTTGGGGGATCTGCTACCTCTCTATCTACTTCGGCGAACACGCCGGCAACCGGACGGTCTTTTTCGTCTACGAACAGCTCCAGCTTGGATGAGTCGATGGTGGACGACCGTCGGCGTAGTCGCAGACGGCAGCCACCCTACCGTCCAACCAGCTGGATAGCGAGCCCGGTCTCTAGCAGACGGGGCAGCTATGATACCGAAGACAGTGAGAATGTGAGAGAATTGGAGGATATGATTGAAGATTTTGATATGGATTGGATGTCCGAAAGGTCGAACCCTTCGAGCTTTCAGATGTCCTGAAGTTGATGTCAAATGGTGTAATGGCGATTGTTGATGTTTTTACCACGCTCTTTGAAATGTCCGATCTTAGGATGAGGATTTATGCGCGTCCCTGGTGGACGGAATTTGTCTCCGATGTCATTCCCTGTTACCTGCAGATATTTCCTATGTTGTTTTGTTGCACGATACCACTTTGTTTTTAGTTGATTTACCTTGAATATACTACTATTTCCTACGTCATTCGCAACATCGTACTAGAAGAGAGCCCTTGCTCGTGCAATCAGAGATTATAAATATAATGCACTGAATGGATATTTCATAAAAAAACAGGCAGACCTACAAAAGGGGTCTACGGAGTAAGTAGTTTCACAATAAGTGGTGCTCCAGTCAACGACGCCGCGCAAAGACCACGGACCAGCACCTAAGGCCACGCACTAGCGACTCCGGAGAATTGTTGATCACCACCACCACCAGCGCAACTCCCAACTTCCAGCCAAACCGATATACTCACCAATCAGCCTCTACACCAGATATACACTCCCACACAAAAGCATGCGATAATAATTAATTCCAATACACAAAACACCCACCACAGACTCAGCAGAAAGCCACCACAGAAGCAACATAATGACACTCCTACCACCACCACCAACAACAACGTCAACAGTACGCTCTTTCCCCTCCCCTCCCCCTCCCCCAACCGACCAACAAGACCCGGAACAACAACAACAACAATCTGACTCATCAATGAATAGACCCAAATCCCCCAACATGTAACCGCCCTCCTCTCGCACCTCACCTCCCGCCCCGGCGTCCAATCCACCTTCATCCTCTCCCGCAAAGACGGCTCCATAATCCAGAGTACCGGGCTGTATGCGAAACCGCCATCTCCTTCTCCCTCGAGTGCAGCTGCGGCACAGCAATCACCGCGCACCGAGACCATCTCCGCACCTGTGGACGGAACCGAGACCGAGACCCAGACCGAACCGCAGACTGAAACTGAAGCTGGAACTGAGCCCGCGCTCACCGAGACGGATGCTGCTCAACCCCCGACGACGAAACAGCCACAGCAGCAACAACAACAACAGTCTAAAGAAGGAGGGGCAACGCAACTGTATCAGCCGTCGCAGGGCGAGGCTCTAGCGGCGCATATCTTTGCGTTTGTGGCTAGTGCGTCGGAACTTAGTCTTGCGTTGTCGGGGGCGGAGGATGATGGGGATGGGGATGGGGTTGTTAGACAGGTGGATGGTGGGGTTTCTGGGGATGGAGGAAGTGGCTTTGGTGCTGGTGCTGGTGCTGGGGAGAAGGAGGAGGGCGATGATGAGGTCAAGTTGTTGAGGTTGAGGACGAAGAGGCATGAGATTGTTGTCGTGCCGGATAGGAAGTTTTTGCTTTGTGTGGTGCATGATGCGCATCATGGGGGTGTTGGGGCTAGTGCGAGTGGGGGTGCGGCTGGGGTGAGGAGGTAATTGGTATCATTCATGGTTTGGTTTGGGGCTGGTTAATGGACGTTGGTAGGGGGTGGTGGTGGTAGTGATTGATGAATGGATGGATGGATATACCCGGAGTGTTTTTTCGTGTGTCTTAGGGTTAGTGATGGTGATGATGATGGTGGTAGTGGTTTACTTCTTTGTGTATGTTGAATGTACTGGTTTAATTTGTGATTCTGTTCATGCAACGGCACTTCACTGGTCTGGAGAGTCTCGAACTGAGTTTGGATTGATAGATTGGGTTCATACGGGATTGATACGAAAGTGAAAGACTTTCTCTGGTCGCCACGGCGCTATGATAGTGACGAGTCAGCGATTGCGATGAATTCGGTATCATCAAGACGTGAATCCCGCTGCCTGATCAACACGAACTTCACAAAAGCAACACGTACTTCACGTTGACACTTCACACTTCATCCTCGCTTTCACTACCTCACAAATGGGGATAAAAGGCATCTTCTCTCTCCTCTTCTCCTCCTTCCTGATTCTCCCCAAAGCATCATCATACAGGCCTCTGTCTTCCTATATACACACACATAAAACATTCACTTTTATATACTATACTCCTCATCTTCTACTCAATCAGAAAGTCACATCCATCCTGACCTTCATCTATCTATAACAACGTCAGAGACACCACACACTGCTCGGCTGCCTCGCAGCTGAATACTGTCTTCGGGCTCTGGCGTACTCGGCACAGAAGCTTCTCAAGCAACTTGCTTCGACACTGTCGACAGTGATATATAAGACTGGAAATATACCATGTCACTCCCCATCCCACATGCTTCTTCATAGCACTTGTCTACTACATCCAGTACGCAGGAGCCTGCAAGAACGTCTTCATCCTTCTCTCTTCGTGGTACTCACACACGAAGAACCTTTCGTCAGCCTGGGCGCTCAGCATCGCTTAGGCATTTCCTCTGAGCTCTGTGGACGGGTTAGACAAAGAATACGTTACTCGGGGATCCATCGGCGTGCCTGAATGCAGTGCAAGACAAAAGGGCCAGTGGAGATATCCAAAGATAATCTTCAGGCGTGGTTATCAGAACTACCATCTGATCCTCGGACTGAATGACCCAGAAGAGCAATTTCTCCTCTACGATGCTCTTATAATGGTGTGGCAGAAGCTGCTTCACAGGACACGTTGTATGAAGCATGGAGCATTGAAACAGCGTCTGGACAGTTGGTTATTATTCTTTATGTCTTGGTATATGAGGCTGATTTCCTGGCATCCTACAGTCGCTCTTTGGGGCTGGCGGGATGCAATATACTGGGACCAAAAGATCTCGTATATCTGGAACAGGGTCCCTATGGTTTTAGAGCTGGCGCATTGGTGAAGCAGCTCACAAGTTCATAGAAAAGGATACATCTAGAAAGACTCAACAGCTCAGTGAACGGGCTTTGAGGGAAGATAGCAGGCAATAGACTGTCTGACCCGAGTATAAAGAGGGATCCGACTCCAATCAAGGCGCAGTGTCTGCGAGAAAGAGTTGCTTTTGGACCCCATGGTCGCAGAAGCCCCAGACTGAACATATACTGCTTGGGTTTGTGTACTACAAGTCATCGGTGTGGTCACTGCTCGGCAGCGTGGTCACCGTTCCGAATAAAGGGAACGAGCTTTTGCACAGGACGTGTCGATGTCTCTTCAGAACACTCAATATGAAAGCTTGAAGGTTGCTTTGTTCAGTCTCTGAGTCACTGGTGGCCGAATGTCCCTGTGTTGACAAACCAAAGGATGCTGGAAACATGCCGTCTTCGCTGAGTGATGATGTCTCCATCGTGGGAGATGAAAGGAGAGGATACAGGACAAAGGTAAGGTTTTGTATAACGTGCCCTGTTTGTTTATGGAGCTAACAATTTCTTAAGCAGGCTTCTGAATATGAAATTGGTGCTCGATCGATCGAAATTGGAGATACTATAGAAGGCATGGCTGTGGTCAGCATACCTCGGGCTTACAAGTTCTATCATGTCGAATCTTAGGTTCTTGCTCTTGACCTTGATTGGAACAATGAGGGGACAGAAATGGCCTATAATCGACTCAAGAGCACATGGCTCTTTGGCTCCTGCTGCCAGTCGTTCATATATGAGACAGAATCCGGCAATTGACAATATACTGGGCTAATGTGCACGGTAATAACCGGCTTGTGGCAATTTCCGTCGTTTTCAAAAGCAGTCTCCGATCACATTGCTTGTGAGTACGAGCGACTGCCATGCCAAAAACATGTCTTTAAAAGTTCTTCTGCGCCACATTGTCATAAGGTTCTGGAAATACACCTGGAAAGGAGGCCCCAGCGACTTTGGCCTGGCCCGTACTGGGCCTTGGACATGACTGTGGCTGGCCATCCTTCGCCTCCATGCCAGAGCCTGGGTTCATATGGCTCGTTGCAAGGCCGAGGGAAAAGCTACGTCTGAGGTACGCATTCGCTCATTTTGCAGAGTGATCTCGACGAGCGATCGGACTGATGGTCGGCCACTGTTTCCTTTCTATATACTTGCGGCCTCGGAATGATGAACCTGAATCATGGTTCTAACATTCAGTTTTGCTAATTTCTCTAAACACCACTCGAGTCCAGTCATCCGCTCCAGTCTGGGCCATAAGGGAGGTACTGAGGTCAAAGATGAGGATGGGATTGAGAAACAAGTAAGTCTCTTTTCTCATCTCATTGACGAAGAAATATATGGAGTTCTTGTCGAGCGAAGCATCAGAGACTCTGGAACCAGCCATGCCTCGTCACCCCTGGCTGTCATTATTGCATCCTCGCTATGTCTTCTGTCTTCTTCCATGGCCAACGCTTCGCCTAGGTCTCATCGCATGCATAAACATATCCCATCGTTTCAGATCTGCTACGCTGAGGATGGCTGATCCTGGCACAGAAACCTTCATGACTGTAGAAGAGGAAGATGAGCATCGTATACGGTGCAGAACCTCTCAAATCTTAGGGCGGGCACCATTACTCTTGATCTGGAAAAGACGTCCGACGCGCCAAATCACATCGAGAATCCAGCGACGTCTTATCTGTCAAAAAGAAAGATTGATCGCCGAACAATGTCAAGATTATCATTAGGAAACAAAACAATGGCAGTGACTATTATCCAACCGGTTACCACAGATTTCATGCATCTGCCTCATGAATACATACATATGGAAGCAAGAAGTATATCAACCGACCTTGGTAACCATGTCGTTCCAATGGCCTACTGTGGGTGCTTGGCGCAATGAGATACCCTCACTTGCCGAGACTTGACCTTCGAGATGAAAGGAAACGTCCAGGGAAGTTCAACAGAACGCATCTGCATGGCAGCTCTCAATACCGAAATATTTTGTGCAGCTGCCGTCTTTTCTCCCGTTGAGGCTCGTCTTCAAAACAGAAGAAAATGCAGCTTGGACGTGGATGTATGGCATCGGTATATACTAGCCATAGGATTGACTATATGGTATGCCCAATGGATCTCAACATGAGCGTACAACAACATTTCAATGGCGTATACGAACAAAAGAGATCAGTAAGAGACCTGATGGTTTTATGCCTGTTGGAGCCTGTGATTTCTCGTCGGCTGTTACTGGAACATCTAATCACGGTCGTGGCAAATGTGGACTACATGAGGCCTACCATGCTTACTTCCAGCCTACATTCATGCTTGAAAAGTTTTCGTTGAACGGTTCATGTTGTGGCTGAGAGTTACACATCGCATATGGAACGGGGAACTACAGGGACTACTTGGAATTCGCGAGGTCGCTGTTTTACGGTGTACAACAGCGGAAACAGCATGATGGGAGCGATATGAAAGAGGGCAGAGTGGGCCAAAATATTGACTCCTGACGACTCGGGATGAGTAAGTATCTTCGGCTGCTGATAGAGTGTCTTGTTATTGCTGTGGGATGGCATCGAGAAACAATCACACTCGACAATTACGGGGATCGTGGACCTTCAAACAGTGGTCGCGCGGCACTTTCCATAAGAGAACAGCAACCCCAAACGATATATAGACGATGTCGAGTAACCGGCATGTGTCTGCTTCCGATGTTCGATGGAATACAGAGACACGAGAGAGCCGAAGAACGTTCGTGGAAGCAAGACCACACATATCGGCCATCGCAGTGTGAAGCCATTAGTCGGTATGCAAAACTCAAAGGCACACTCTCAGTCGGCTTCAACATTTGCTTGCAACAAGGAAAGGTATAGGCTATAGTCCACTGAAGTCATATGTTTCCCTCACAACTATATCACCATGCCTATACCCTCAGTGGGTGCAGGCTTTACCCAACAGGAAGCGGTTTCCCAATTTCCAGCGAGTGGCAACCAGCCTCCAGATAGACTGCTCGCGGCGGACGACAATGCCATTGCACAGGGATCAGTGTCCTAGTTACGGGTGTCTCAGAGGGAATGGATGTGCTTTACCGAATAGTCGGGTGACTGAGGCACTGGAGGGGGCTAGAAACATAAATCGGACAGTATGAAATCCATACCATGCTGAAGCTCACAACCTCTATGGCGTATTCAGACATTCATCGCGCTATCCTATGAGGACGGAGACAATGGAGGCCCACTAGGTGAACGCAGGGATCAATCAAAACTGTCAATGGAAAGTGGCAAAGTTAGACAGAGCTTTAGCCAACTTTTTGTCCCTTGCATAGGGACTATCACCATAATAATCGGCTTTATACATTCATGGCAAATCAAGTTACGAATCTTTCCGTCCCTAGGCTTCATACAGGCCCCCGCGTGGATACGTGGCATGCTGCGTGCTCCTGGGCGGCTTCCACTCCATGGCAGGACAACAATCCATCGAAGCGAAAGTCAGAATTCCTGCTACGATCTATCCAGAAATGATAATCTTGCTACTTCGGAATGAGCCATTACAGAGAAAGAGCCCCGTGGCTACGCTTAGTGCTCCTGGGACATCCACTCTAAATGCGGCCTGCACTTCACACCACACGAACAAGCAATCCAAAGACATATGGGAGTATACTTAATTGCCACACTCGACTATAGAGTACCAATATGCTCTGCTACTTCGAATTGTGTCAACCAAAAGTCTGCGTGGGTACGTGGCTACGCTGCTACTCCCAAGGCGGTTCACTCCAGAACACAACAACATTCCGACAACACAAAGCAGTGAAATTTCCTGCTGATATTTACTATATAGTATATTTAGCTTTCAAGATTCCCCACGTCGTCAAAGGCCACGATCTACTTATGATGTGGTTGGCCAAGGCACAAGCGATGAGGCAAGATCTAACGAAATGAAGCTGCATGAAAGCATGATGCCTAAACACAGCGTCTAAAGAAATGGCACATGCTCGTTGTTGAATACTCCATCCGGATATAAGCAACGATGTGCATCGGCCACTGTCGATGTTGGAATGAGGACACGTTCATCTCATAGAAAATGCCAAGAGCAATCCTAGCTCAAAATGAACGTGAATCGTCAGAAAAAAAGATAAATATCGAACATGTCGTCTCACCGGTCCACGTTTTGGCAAGAGGCAAAGGTGCTGCTTCATATAAAGAAAGATACGGAGGGTCTACTGTAGCAAACTTTGCTTCTATTAGGTCCTACCAGCGACCAATATGCCATGATCGAACGATTCCAACACTACGAGATCTGGGCTCCTGCGCGGGTACGGGGGTACGCATACTCCAGCGATTGAAGTGGGACGATCCAAACTTCCGCCTTTTTGAATCTCCCCAGGCATGTCTGGCAATCTAAACCTCAGCTCTGAATCCTGAATGTGGTCTATTGACTCTCTCAAAATAGAGGCATTGCTGTCTACTGCAAAATGCTGTTGCATGTCCTCCGGGTGACAAGCCTCGTTATTCGCAGTACCATCTCCGCTTATTAGTGCAGGTATATGGGCACAATTTCGGTACTTCTCTTTCTTTCTCCAACTAGCTCACAGAGACAAAAGCAGGTCGTGTATACCAGTTGGAGTAGCGATGCGCTATGTCCAGATAGCGAGTCCAACGATGACTATCGCGCTACTTATACCACCTCAGGTCTCATCTTATTTCGTCTTGACCATATAAATGCTCCCTTGTCTCTTTTGGAGCGGCATCTATCTCTTCCTGGACCTCCTCACAAGAGCAGCATACCAACTACTGCAAGCAAGCGGTCTTTCTAAGGCGGTATGAGATTGAAAATGGACATGAACAGTCTGCCACGGTTGAAAGCTCCAACAGTATGACAGAAAGCATTCATAGTAACGCGGGAAAAGAATCATGGATCAAATCATGGCACTTCGGGAAAACAGGACATCCGGTCTCCAAGAGCTACTTTTCAGTTATCACTGGGCTTCTAGGAAAAAGAAAGAAGAGCTGCAAGGAGAATCTGTCATGAATAATGCTCCTCTGGAATGACCATTTACTTCGAGACTAGCTGGAAGTCGGCGCAGTTCGATGTCCTGAGGCCTCCATAGCTCCGGCTACTCTCTAAAGGACTCGGGTCAGAGCCAACGAAACCGGAATGCCAGAGGGCAAAGCTCTTGGTTGGTCTGTGTCTCTGGCACAATGGCGAAGCGACGAATGCGTGGCTGATGTCCACATGTTTTCCAGTCCGGAAATCAACTGAGGCCAACAAAAACAAATCAGGAAAAGCGGTTCATACAATCTATGCCTTCGTTTATTCCCTTCCTTCATCTCGAACCAAATCTCAACTTGGTATATCTTGCACATGGGCTCACCGCAGACATTATTGCAAGTTACACACTATACGCTCAGGTCCTAGATCGAACAGGTTCCATCGCTGACCAGGCTGCCAACTTTGGTTATTTCAGCGGGATGATCCCCAGTGTTTCGGACTGTGCAACTACTTTCCTACGAAGCTAGTGAGTGGGGTCCTTATCCTATGCATACAGCCCAGAAAATGGGTCGTTACTCGCAGTCACACCAACGCCATCAGACCAACGCGATGATAGGTTGGGCAAGAATAATGAAACTGTCTTCCTGACTCCGTCAATTGGCAGATCATATTTTCCAAGTGATCCGAAGGAATAACCAACCAGCTGATACCCAGAAACGACCTGCGATATAAAATATATAATCACGCAATCTGCAGACGCCAGCTGAATCTACTAGTGACATCCCGCCGACTAGAAGAAACATACAAAGCAATCGTGTCGGCACTGGTGTTGTTCCTAATACATACTAGCGCCACAGATGATGCAGGCTGCCTTGGCTGAAACGAACTATATCGTTCTATATCGAACGAATCTCGGAGACAATCCATGAAGCCAGCTGCATGGTGTTTCCATGCTTGGCTGTCGTGTCATCAAGTTATATAATCATAACTCTTCTTCTGTCTCCTGATCGTCAGTTCCGTCTGGATAATATAAGACACAGAAAAGGGCAATTTGAATGACCCATCGAAACAACGAAGACAACATCAACTTTACTCCCTGCTGGCTCCATGTGTTATATACTCTGGAATCCTAGAAGGACCCAGACATTGGCTTCCTTCCAACAGGATCCCACTTCGTCCGGAACTCAAAGGTGGAAAAGAGAGACCAACGTCGACTTCACTGCCTGATGGAACTCTGGCTTTTCTACCGGGAGATACAAGTAACGGTGCCAGTAACAACCAACTTGAACAATCATGTCTACAATGGCTTCCTCTCAACCTCCATACTACGCAACTCTCTTGCCTAAGGTTAAATCCCAATGAACAAGATACAAGTTAAGAACAACCCATCCAGACAGACACTGAGGAGAACATCAATCCTGTCCCGGATCGTTCTCTGGTTTATGGATCTACTGGGAAATAACGGTAAAAACCAGTTAAGAGATCCTGGAACAGCTTATATCCAAGACACCTGATTCGCTTTCTGGGATTTGATTTACTTTCCTTTTTCCCTTCTTCCAAGTCGGGTCGAGTCGAGTCTATCTACATATAAATCCCTCACTGGGGTAATACCTACAGACAGCAATGCAGTGCTGCCAGTCAGGTTTCCTTCCCAACACAATGGATATATCATGGCTACTTGTCAACTTCAACACAAGCCACAAGGACCTTGGAACTTCAAGCTTCGAGCTCAGAACCAGCCTTTCACTCCTCGCCTCATCTGTAAAAGAACAAATGACCCTGAAGAATGATAATATCATTTCAAGCACCGGAAACTATACCATCTACCATGAGATGACTGATTCCGCGTTTCACAGCGTTATCAACGATAGCCCTTACCACACTTCTCGTAGTGCATACTACTGTCGGTTGAGGACACTCCTCGAGCTCCTTTCTCAGGCTTTGCCTGGATGGTTCTGGGCAGTAGGCAGGTAATAACACCATCACCGGCTGGTATACTGCGTATTTCGCTCCCCAATATGGTGGTGTGGTGTGGGTGGGTGGTTATGAGCAATGGCTTGTACCAATCCATCTATCTAAATGGAATGATATCCTGATATGTTGCCTAGCTGGTGATGGACATTACCTGGGCACAATCACAGTGGTCTGTGTCAATTCCATTGCTGGACACCAGACATTTCTTGAGCTGAGCTCTTCTCCTGAATAGATGGTTGTTTATGGATGAATAGCAGCAGTGTGACAGTTGGTCTGAGGGGGTGGGTTGGTGTTGGTGCTTGGGAAAAGTAGGAACATGGATAAAGAGATTGTGATGGTGGTGGTGGTTTAATACCCACGTGGATTGATGCTAAGAGATACTCGTTGCTTTGAGAATGGTCTGTCCGGGGGAAGGTCCATTGGGTGATGTGCAGGTCACTGATCATAGTATTTGTGGGATTGAGATGAACCGTATCAATTTATATCCATATTTCATCGAAGATGTTATCCATACCATCCTTATTCTTCATTGTAGCTCATAATCACTGGTCGTCGTCATCTTCACTCTTATCATCATCGCCATAGTGAGTGTCGTTATCCTTGTCCTTTCTCGTAGTTCACATCATCATCATCATCATCATCATCATCATCATCATCATCATCACCACCACCTTCTCAATTCATGCTCGTAATTCATCCGATACCATCACAACCCCTACCCACCTCCCTCCATCCCTCCTACACAAATACCTGATGATAACAGCTTACTCCTTCTCCCCAGGCAACCTCACATCCCCCCACCCCCTCCCACTCCCATCCCCAAACCCACCACCACCACCCCCACTCCCCCACTGCGTGACGCCCCTCCACTCACTAACATTCAACCACCCAATCCTCTGCAAGCCGCCAAACCCACCAATCCAATAAACCTGCTCGACCCTCAACCTAGCCCAATAACTACTATGCGGGGCGCCCTCCTTACCCGGCAACCACGCCTCCGCATCAGGATGCTTCTCAAGGAAACACTTCCGCAGGGCGCTCTCCACCGCCTCCGGCACAGGCGTCTCAAACGGCTCGACGTACCCGAACAGCGTGACGCGGGGTAATCCGGCCTCGCTGAGGGGAAACCCCGGCCAGAGCGGGGAAGTATCGTTGACGTGGTCCCACCAGTCCAGCGAGAGGGAGATGTTGGACCCCGCGGCGGTGTTGCGGAAGGTGGTGGCCACGTGCAGGGCCAGGAAGGTCGGGTTGCCGAGCCCCCTGGGGGATTCGGAGGAGGTGTCGTTGGCGGGGAGGTGGGGGTCGCAGTCGGCGAGGTATTCGGTTTGGGTTGTGGAGTGGCCGGCTAGGGAGGGAGGTGTGTGCGAGTTGGGGGGTAGGGGGGAGGGGAAGATGGTCGAGGCGGTGCCGGTGCGGGAGAGGGCGAGGAGGCGGCGGGCCAGGAGGGTTGAGGTGAACCAGGATGGGGGGGCAGTGTTGGTGGTCAGGTCGGAGGGGGTGAGGGTGAGGGTGTCGGTGTCGAGGTTGTAGTGTGTATCGTAGGTGGTGGTATCGGTGTCGGTGTCGGTGAGAGGAGCTTGTTCGGCGACAGGGCTGGCACCGACGTGGAGGAGGTGGGTTAGGAGGACGAGTGCGGAGAAGAAGGTCGTGATGAGTGGACGGGCCATCATCGTGGTGTTGTGGATGACTGTCCTATAGATGAAAAGTAGAGAATTTGCTTCTTCGATGAAAGTGAATGGATAAGGAGATAAGGAAAAAGAAAGAAGGGATGGCAGACGGATAAAGGGATACCAGCAAGGAAGTGGTGTCACCGTGAGGGGAAGGTCACGATCTGATCTTATCTGATGTACGCTAGACTACTTCCGGTTAGTAGCCCCATGTGACTCTAACGGTCGGCAGGTGACTTCCCGGTCGCATCCGGTGATTCCGGCCTTGTCCGACTTCGGCGCCTGCCTAAGGCCATCGTGTGACTCACCGGAAACGCCCCGACCGTGGATGCTCGATGCTATCTCCATCACCGGCTGACCACCACTTCTGCCATCAGAGTTGCGGTGAGTCATAGTGGCGCGAGTTGATCGCCGAAGTGCCTCCGTCCGGATGCACAGACTCCGTTCACGGACGGGCTGTCCTATGTTCTACAATGTACCCATGGAAGTGGGGTGATCAGACAAAATAGTCACGGAAATGGTCTCTCACAACATCTTCGTATTGCTTATCCTCTTGCAGAGGATTGGTCCTAATAATCGAGCAGAATCCTTCGTTTGCCAGTAACTCCGCAGTAATAGTATAATGCGTTCCCTCGCCCTTCGCAACCCATGTAGTCAGATGTCAGAATAATGCAAGCGAAAACCAGTGAAAGAAGTAGACCCGACCGTTCCCACCACACTCCAGTGCCGCAATGACAGACAGAAATAAATAACGATAGATATGGCAAATGTGCACAGAAAAATAGTAAAGATAGCAACAAACCTCCCCAACGTACATCATACACCAGCAGTCTGCCATAGCAGTACTACTGTACAAGTAGCCTCCCCGAATCGACAACAGCTGCAGGGTATATACAAAGACGACTTTTGCTTTCCCCGAACGCGTGTGAATCACCTGAGAAAGTTCGCACAAAACTTTTCCCTACCGGTCTGCGTCTCTTCTGCTGCTGTTGCAACCAGACCAGATTGGTCAGAATAGAATTATGGGTATGAATGTAAACACTTTTCCGCAAAGGAAAGGAAATGATAAATGAATGAGTCCAGATATTCTGGGAGACCTAGTAATCAGCCCGCATGCTTGGGTTGAGCGCAATCTTCCTGGCCTCGCTCCCGCAGCAGGCACGCTTCATGCCAACGGGGCCCGAGAGCGGAACGTTGTAGTTCAATGCACTCAGCTGAGAAGCGGTGAGCGTTTGCGTGCGGCGGGCCTCGGGGTTCAGGAACAGATCCGCCATGTTCCCATCAGGTAGTACAGTGCCTTCAGCAAAGGTTTTGGACTTGACGAGATGACGGATTTGACCGTGCAGCATGTCCTCGGATCCGGTGCGGCCGCGTTTGCGACACACACGCTGGCCAGCGTTCTGTTGCTCGATCGTTTGCTGAGCGCGAGGCACAGCACCAGAAAGAGCGCAAAGACTCTGTGCTGCCTCGTGGGCAGAAGACAGGTCCACTGGGGGCTCCAGCGAGTAGCCGGACATATCCGGAACCTGGCCAAGATGACCGCCATAGGTCTCGGGCGAGCTGTAGATATCTCCAAGTGCACCCTCATCAATGGGCGATGCGATGGCCAGATTCTTGCGGCACTCCTTGAGGGAGTTGCCAGTGCATCGGAGCGTTGCCTGAACGGCCAGGCGAGGCATAGCAGACACACCGGTTGAAGAGCTGGATGACATGGATGACGATCGCGATGACTGCGACGACATGCTTGACACATCCGAGATCATCGAATCCGGAGATGAAGCAGAGGAAGCCGAGCGGGCCAGAGAGGACCGGCGCACCAAGTTAGGGTACCCATCAAACGTGTTAGCCCGAGGGCAAAACTGTAGTGACGGGCGCTGGTCGTAGATCGACCGCGCCGTGCACATGTTTTGCGCCTGGGACATGGCAGTTTGCATGTAACGGCGGTGCGCAGGCATACCGCCAGCACTCACTGCAGGAGTGGAGGCGATGCTCGCTTGAGGCGTCATCTGCGGTGTCGGCAGCATAGCCGGCCGCGGCATGGGCGGCAATGACGGGAGGGAGGGAAGTGTGGTCTCTTTACGAGTCACCGACTCCAGCGCTTGACGCCCGCATGCAGCGATTTGCTCATGGATGGAGGGCAGGCTGACGGGCTCGTTTGTGGCTTGGCCGGGAAGATCCCTCTTGAACGATGTGCCCCGAGGGGATGGCGAGTCCGACACCGAGCGGGAGCCAAAAGACTGCATGGTAGGTGTCGCGGGGCTGACGTCGAATTCCTCCAGGTCAGGCGTGAGCTTCGGGATGATCGTACGCCAACATTGCCCGTCCCCAAAAGCCATGTTACCAGCACCAGGGGTGTACTTCAGTACAATGTCAGTCCAGCGCTGAAAAAGAGACTCGGGGATATGGAGTCGCCAGTTAACCGCTTCCAGAAACATCAGTTCGTTCTGGTTGATCTCGGCCGTGTTCAAACCGGAGATCTTACTCCAAGCGCGAGCGGAATAGTTGCGATCTTGGAGATACTTGGATGCGAGGATTAGCGCTGCAAGAAACATGCGCCGCCCACACTGCATAGCCCGGCAGACGGGCTTGCCCCGGGCCTGGTCCTGAGTCGCCTCATGGCTCGGCACGTGGGGCTTGATCTTGATGAGATAGTAAAGCGCCACCTGGAGGGTACTATAGCTGGTGCGGGAGCGGCGGAGTGTCTCCTGGATGAATGTCCGCAGAGGCAAGACGCCTTTGCATCCAGTCGCCGAATCACTCCGCAGCGAGACAGCCGACAAGGGCCAAATGACCTCAACAATCTGCGACGCGGTGTCTTTCACACGGTGTACTTAGTTCTGAACCTCAACCACATCATAATAAACGGACAGCTCCCCAGACTTACCGACAAGGTTATCGACAAAGTTGACCTTCCGTTCCGATTGTCTCAAAAGACACGGCGGAGGCCGCGCGCATGCACTGTTGGTCCGCCGCGGATGCTTACGTAACTCGGGCGGAATAGCAGGATCAGTTGCCTTCGGGACCACGCCCCTTAGGTAACCGCGCGCACCGTTTGCAGCAGCAAGTGCTCTTCCCCCAGCCTGGTATTCTCCTTCATTCTCCCAGATCACATCAACCGGGTTCGTCGCGGTTGAGGAGATGGAACTCTGAGAGGACAGGCCATCTAGCGAGAAGACCGAAGAGGACGAGGAAGAGGCGGAGGAAGAGACCGAGGATGCATACGGGTGCGCATAAGCCGTTCGGATTTGGCTGTTCGGGTTTGGATCCTTCAAACCCAAAATGTCAATCCCTGACATATCCGGGATGATGTCCAGTCGAGCGACCTTGATACTTTTTGACAAAATAGAAAGAAAAAGGTCCGAAAGTACCTCAAATGGTCATCCAGAGGGCTAACAAACTTGAGCTAGCCTTCCTTCTATGCGTCGGATATGACACGAGACTGTAAATTTAAACCGTGTGTGTGTGTTTTCAATAAACCGTTGTGCGTGAACCGTGAACGTGTAGCCGATAAGACAAGGAACCGTCTTTTTGATCGCAGGCGACGGCAGACCCTTAAGAGAGAAAATTCGCCAGGTTGTCGAAGATATAGTATAGTAGGACAGTTTAGGCAAGCGAGAGGACAACAGTCATCTAGCACGGACGTGATATAAAATGATGCTGTTGGGTTGAAGTCGGGCGGTAGGTGTGGGTAATGAGGAGGAAGCCGGTGAAGTAGTGGTACGTGTCAAGGAATCGGGAAAAGAAGAAGGGGTTTACCGTCTAATGTTCCGATCACCAGTTGGAGAGTCCCGAATAGATCAAGCCGAATATCGCGTAACCAGAGAAGACACGTAATATATTGTCAACGTGACCCTCTAGAATGACAGATGCTGGAAGCTATTTAAACAAACGCAGCGGTCTTGCCGGAGGTTCGGAGATCTGAGGAGTCTGCAACACGGGTGATCGGAACAGAAGACTTGATAACAACAGGGTACATTTTGAGATGCGCAGGCGCAGGAGGTTATATCACGGGCCGATAGAGCGGCGGACTGTCAACAAGCAGGCGAGATAACCGGCGCTTGTCCAGGCAGTCAGCAGTCGTATCGGAGGCAGAAGACAGAAATAGGTTGGTGAGGCTCAAGGAAGACTGGAAGGCGAAGAAGGAACGAGTCAGCAACGATCTTATGAGTATCTCTCCACTTTAGCGCTCGTCTATGACTCTTACGCCGGATCTCACGGTGAGGGTCCAGGAGTCCGATGACTATATGGGGGGCGGAGCAATAGACAGTGACTAACTGGGGTGGCGGCCAGACTAAATCACAGGCAGAGATGGCAACCTGAAGCTAGTCGGAGGCGAGTGGAACGACGCAGCACAGAGTCCAACAGCGCGAGAGAGAAAAAGGAACGAAATTAACTTACGCAGCAGCCAGTGGCGAGAGTGGCGGAAGTGGTCTTTTGAGACTCTTGGGGCGGATGCAGGGACCACGCTTCACAGTCTTTCACAAAGCGGGCGAAAAAGGGTGAGCGGAGAGGCAACGGGAAGAGCAGACGAGCCAAACAACTGAACAGGAACCAAGATACAAAAGTGAAGCAAAGATAAACAAGGAAACTAGTATGACTCTACACTCTTCAGTCACACTTCCTTTCTAGTGAAAGAAAGAAAGAAGATGACAAGCGTGTGGAAGGTGGAGGAAGAGAGGAGGGGAGGGGAGGAATATTAGTGAGTGAAGGGCGAGAGAGGGAAGAGATGGCAAAGTAAGAGTTCAAGTTCCAGTCTAGTCACAGTCACAGTCAGTCAGCCCTGCTGGCAGAGTGAGAGA